CAATATTTTCTTGAATCTGTTTACTTCTGTGTTTGTTCCTTGGTTTAAATTATAGTTTGATCAACTTCAAGTTAACATTAGTCTTGATTTTTGTCCCATGGGTCTTTTCTGATAGCTGCTTTCAGTTCAGAGCTAATTATATTTACACAAAAGATTTACTGTATAATTTCCTGAAATATAAAACAAATAAATGTGTTTGTAGGGTTTTTTAATGTATCGTTGTAATGTAGCTGTCCAGCACGAGATAGATGAAGGATGACAAACAGCTCCTTATGTTATACCAATCAAATAAGAACTATTTGTCTTCTCATTATAGAAAAACCTGCATGCACCTATGTGTTTTGCTTTGGTGTGTTTTTTTTTTGTATCAGGGCAAATAGGAACTGCTCATGTGGGATGCAATAAGTGGAAGTAAGTAGGAATGAAAAAGAAAGACTAGCTATTTTCTTACAACATTCAAAGAAAGTAAGAAGTAGAAAAGAATATGATTGGTTCTACCCCATGTCAGTCATCCTTGCTTCCTTGTACATGTGGAGGAAAACTATACTATGCAGGTCAAAGTTCTTAAGTATCAATCACTATTATTTTATAATTGTATTTATATCTTGCTCTTCTGACTAGACAGCTCAGTATTCATAAATTTGACCTACTGGTATTAGAAATTTCATTCATACATTGTACTCTTAACTTGTACAGTTCCTCAGGAGAAAAATGTAAAACTTGTTTGGATGCTAACAGATGGATATCAAGTAGTTAGTGCGGGTTTCTTGAGATGTGTGCCAAAGTAAGCCCCGTGTTGATCATTGATGTAATTAATATCTTCTTGCATGACTTGAAGCAGAATATGGAATTGTCTGGAAAAGTGTACAATGTCAAAAAAGGAGGGTTTTTTGAGCTTGCTGAAGAGACAGATTATCAAAATGTACTATAAAGGCTGCAAAATGAAATAATATGGAGCAAACAGAATACATAGGTTTACATTGTTAGTTCAATGTTATAAATCTGTGGTCTGTTTTAACATATGCGTGTTAAAAAAATTATGCTCTAAGACAGGGGTCTTCAAACTTGGCCCTTTTATGACTTGTGGACTTCAACTCCCAGAATTCCTCAGCCAGGCACGCTGGCTGAGGAATTCTGGGAGTTGAAGTCCACAAGTCATAAAAGGGCCAGGTTTGAAGACCCCTGCTCTAAGATGTTTTTTTCCTGCTGCTAATTAAAATTGGCTTACTGTTGCTGTGCATTGATTTTATTGAGTCTATTTTCAACTGCTTAGTAAACAAATAAAATCCTCTTCCCATTGCCTAAAAGTGACTTTCATTAACTAACCATGGTCACTAAAAGAGATATTCTCAAATCATCAAGCTGTTGTCAGATTATGTATTAAAATTAATTGATAAACAACTTCTGGGTTTGAGCCATGAATTAATAGGTAGGATTCAAAAAAGGCAAAACTTTGATTTCCCCCCCACCGGTATCCAGCAGTACGTTCAGTCAGTAAGTGGCAAATTAAGACCTAGATTATATTGTTGCATGATTCTGAGCTTGTGCTTTTCTTCTACTGGAGCCTTTGATGGCCTGTCTCTGGCTGTCATAGTGTAGAGTTAAAAATAGATTTGGCATTTAATGGATAGAATGTACTGTTTTCCAGGAGTTCCTTGTGGTTGTTGTTTTTGTCTCCAGACACAGACATTCATCTCTTCATCAAACTCTCAGGAGATTTAAAGACTGAAATCTCAAGCATGCTTTCTTGGAAGCAAGTTCAGTTAAAATTAGTGGCTGAAGCAAGTGTGTTGAATGGGAGAAAAAAAACTGCTAATAGGTCAAATTTATGAATAATGATCTGAGCTGTCTAGTCAGAAGAGCAAGATATAAATACAATTATAAAATAATAGTGATTGGTTATTAAACATGATACTTAAGAACTTTGACCTGCACAGTATAGGATTTCTCATAGTTTTCCTCCACATGTACAAGGAAGCAAGGATGACTGACATGGGGTAGAACCAATCATGTTCTTTTCCACTTCTTACTTTCTTTGAATGTTGTAAGAAAATAGCTAGCCTTTCTTTTCCATTCCTACTTACTTCCACTTCCAGTTCCTATTTGTGAGGCATTCTGAAGATCTTATCTATATTTCTGTACTTTCAGCACCACATGGATGAAAATTAAATACTCATATACCACATTTATATTTATACAATAGTGAACATCACATCTAATTACTACTGTTTGCTAACGGATATTTTCTGTCATCTGCATGTTTTATTCATTTAATTTATAGTAGACTGTTCTGCATTAATTTCTGAAGTAATGTGTGTTAATGAGTTAGCTGTAGTACTTTCCATTATACATGAAAATATTGCCTTACAATGTACTTTTACTTAATATGGAGTAGCTGCCATTCAAACACAGACAGAGGCAAATAATTATCAGAATATGTAGTTTAAATAGAAGCACCCTATAGACTATGCAATACTTTAGATTGATTTCAGGGAAGTGTTTTGGGGAATTCACAGGGATGTAAACACTATGGTTCTTTTAAGAAGCCTGTGTAGTTTCTCAGAATGAGGGAGGGGCAGATGAATAGGACCAAAGAGCTACTTGGAATCCAATCAGATCTGTTAATCTCCTGGTTAATCTGGTCCAACTCCTCTAGAGCAGTTGAGCCTATGCATACATCCTACAAAATCTCTCTATTAGGGCTTTACCCCTTGATCTGGTTTAACATTATGTATAGCGTCTTTATTACTGGTGGCCACTCTGACATAACAGTAGTGCCAAAACCTGGTGCTACTTGATCTGAATCTCCAGGTTAACCTGGTAAGCAGAAGAGCCAAATGTTTAGGGGGTGCAAAAGCTTGAACCTTGTGAAACATCCCATTTCAACTGTAAAGCTGGTCCCTCAGGCACAAAGTAAGTTGTTTTGAGCATTATGGAAATGTTTAAACTTAAACAGATTTGAAAAGTAAAATAGAGAATTTTTGTTTTGTCAGAATTTCGCACTTAAGAAACATTCTGACCAAACCCAGGTTTTAAATAATCCAGGACAGTACTTTCAGGTTAGTTAATTTGGTTTGAAAATTGTGAACAATAATAATATGTAAAGGTACAAAATTTTGAAATTGTCAACTGTGTGTGAATGCATTTCTGACATTTGTATTTATAAAATATATTCTCAGTAGATCTAAAGGAAACTATGATGATGCCAAAATGAACACATGTACAGGATAACCATATTATGTAAAAATACTACAATTAGTATTATGGTACTTAAGTCCTGACATCTAATCAAATAATAAATGGTGCTACATTTGCATCACCTTTCATTATTTGCTGCCCAATGTATGCTCATAGAAGTTCTGTAAAAAATCATTTCTCCTATAAATACCCCATGTTTTAATATATCTCTTAAGTCCATTTTGTAATTTTTTGGTATACTAACATTAAGAGAAAATGAACCAATAAATCTAATGCAGGTAGAAACAGTGGTCATAAGTGGGGCTCCATGAATTGATTGCATGTCTTGGTCATTCCCTGGTTATGTATGCAGACTTTCCATATGCCATGCCTGAGCTTCTGTAATTATGTTCTCTCTATATATTGTTTCCCTTTTGTGGAAGGCCATGCTCAATGAGCTGGCAGACAGCGGTGTGTGTTTTGCACGGGCTCACTTCTTCCACAGCCATCCTCAACATTTAGGGCCTCCTTTAGTGGAATAATGTGTGAAGAGGCTTAGTATATCAGTAACAGGTCCACAATCCTGGTTTCGGTGATAAGCTTATCTTTGATGACATTCCACCCAACACGGGATTTATTTACAGAAGCCAAGAGCTTGACTGCACATGACTAAGTAATTAGTTAAATTTAGGGCAGTGTTATTTTATCATTGTGTATTCTACAGGTTGGCCTATGCCCTCTTTGTCTTGTCTTATATATTCTTATTTTATTGTAAGACAAGCTTTCCTAATCTTCTCCAGAAAATTACATGTGCTGCTCTGTATATTATTTCCCATAGGAAATGTTTATTAGGTATCTATAGTAATTTTTATCTTCTAAAAAAGATTGTGTTCTTACTTGAGAGATTATTCATTATGCAGAAAAAATAAAATGGATATCTTTCATCAGTCTGGATCATCCAAATATTTAATCCGTAGCCTGAACTTACTGAACCTTTCCTTCCTTCCTTGTAAGGCTGATTTTTCACTTAAATTTATATCTACTTCACCCCTTTTCTTTCTTTTTTTGTGACAGTAACCTATCATCACGTGGTTTCTTGTGCTCTTGAGGGGGTGTTGGAGGAGCCTTGTTATGGGTCTTCTCTACCCAGAATTACCCCTTTGAACCTGGAGTTAATTCAGTATATGGAAATAGACTCTGCACTTTTGGAATATGTCAGGTTATACCAGCAATCAAGGAAAGAATCCGAGAAGAGGTAGATAACAATAGATCTGTAGAGCTGAAAAAGCCATTTAACTCACGATGTCTAACCCTGTGTAGTACAGAAATCCTAATGAAACAATGCATTCATTACCAATGGCTGTCCAGCCTTTTCTGGAACGTGTTCCGTGAAGGTTCGAACTGTTCTTGCTCCTGATGTTTTTTCTTGCTCTTGCAGTCACTGCTGCATATTATTGTTTTGCAAAATAAGCTGAGTGCAAGCTTCAACCTCAAATAAATAAAGCTTCATTTATCCACTCCATTCTAGCTAGCATCCTTTCACATATACTTATTTGGAAGCCAAACATATCCTGTACCTAACACTAGAGGTCTCCTTGGCCAACGGCCTGAGAAACAGTGAATGAATAAAATATTCCATCTCATTTTACTTCTATTTCCTTTATCTTATAATTTTTATTACTTTTTGTCTTATTTATTTTAAGTAGAGCCAGACCAGTTTTTTTAAATAGCAAAATATAATGTAAATCCTTCCAAAATATGCATTTAAATCTAAGAAAGTAAAAAAAAATTCATTCTGATCTTTTTCTGTGTGTGTTTTCAAGGTCAAGAACCATCAAACAAATCAAAGCTAGGACCTGTGGAGCTGACAGTAGTTATAATCATACCGGTGTGTGTGTTGTCTATTGTTTTCCTGCTGGCAGCATACACGTGCCAAGGACACCTCTGCAGACACAGAAAGAAAAGAAGGCCAAATATTGAAGAACCTCTGTCTGAGTGTAATCTGGTGAACCCAGGAAAATCTCTCAAAGATCTAATTTTTGACATGACAACATCGGGTTCTGGATCTGGTATGTTTATGCGCCCCAGAGTCAATTTCAGTTTTCTTAGGTGTATAGTTTTTTTTTTCTCTTTAAGGTGGAGATCACTGGGATGCATTTGTGCATGAAGACTGTTACTATATTATATTATAACCTAGGACAGTGATGGCAAACCTTTTAGAGACCGAGTGCCCCAAAACTGCCCTGCCCGCCTGCTCCGCCCCTTCTGCCACCGTTCCGCCCACCCGCAGGGCCACCCACTACCTCCACGGCCTGCCGCAGCAGATAGCCCAGGCGGCCCTGCGCGCGACGGGGCACAAAGGCGGAGTCTTGTCCCTGCTGCCTGGCTGCCATGTGCTTGGCTGTGCTGCTCCGCGCAGGCTGTGCCGGGGGTTGACTCTCTGGGGGGGCTGCTGGTGAGGGGGCCATGGAAGGAGGCGGGGCTGGGGTGATGGCACACGTGCCCTCAGAAAGAGCTCTGAGTGCCACCCCTGGCACCCGTGTCACAGGTTCGCCACCACTGACCTAGGAGTTGATGCAGACTTGTTTCTTTCTGTGTCAGAAAGAAGTACCCCAAGATCACACGCAGGATCAAGGGGCTATGGACATAACCACATTCCACAACATTGCTCCACATCCCAGGGAAATAGAATGAAATAGTTTAGTTTTTTTAAAAATTCACATCACATTTAGTATTAAGTGAATTGAGAGAAATACATTTAAAATTGGATGTGAATTGAGATAAATACATTTAAAAGATAATGTAAACAATTAAAGGCTGAAATTTCAACAGCCTAAAACAGTATTCAGTAAAGGCAGTGCTTAAAATTTAATAGAAGAATACTTATACAAGTGGGATGAGATAAGAGAGATCAGAGAGCTCTCTTTAAAGAAGCTGGGTATCACAATATATTAAAAAGTGTCTCTGTTCCTGAAGGAGGAGAGAGAAAATGAGTAAGGCCTAAGTAGAAAGATGGGGTATCTTTCATAGAGGAAGCATGTATTTCAGTATCCAGTCGATGAAAAATAATTCCATCATGGATTTAGAGATTCAGCTTTAAAGGAGTTGGAAAGAGAATGAATATTACCCATAAAAAAAATTAGGCTAGTATTGTTTCTTCCCCCCACCCTCCTCAAAATCTACCAGGGGGATTCATTTCCTTTTTCAAAATTTAGGAGATGGCTGACGGAGTCTACTCTAACTTTAAGAGCCTGACTTTCATAGAGAAGCTGCTTTTTTTCTCTTAATTCTTCCTGGACTGACCCTACAACACTTTTAAATAAAGAGATCCCTCAGCCATTTCATAGGTTGTTTTTTTTTTAAAAAAAAAATTCAATCTCCATCAGCTTCTATAGGAAAGGGCAATTTTGAATAATTAAAAACAACAGGGGGTGGGGGAGAGACAGGCAGCATAAAAAGCACTTCTCTGACGTACTATTATGCATAAGGGTTGAAAGATCAAACTTCAGGCTGAACCTGAAGCGAATATTTACCTAGTGCAAAATTATGTCTAAGTTAATTTTTGAACTCCAGAATAAACCCAACAAGAGGGTTCTGAAATCAATAGGTTTTCTGTCCCTTCTTACAGACAGTTGTATGTACCTTGCTGTACAATGGCCCAATGAGAATGTCTCTGTCACTCTAGAGCATTGATTCCTCGTTAAGGGTCTTTACCTTGACAGAGCTAAGAGAGAGAAGTTTCATTGCACCAGCTGCTATGGTAACTAAGAATAAGCCCTTATTTGTGATGCATCTTATAAGATGTTGCCAAAGTTGCCCTTTATGAAGAGCTATGCTTTTTTATCTTTCAAAACTGCGCTTAAATGCCAAGTCTCAGAACTGAGGCGGTACGTAAAATCTTACTTTTTATTAGTGGGGAAAAAGGCTTGTCTTGGGATGAACTTTTGGCTCTGCAGAGAGTAGGCTGCACAGATTCTCATGCATATTGCATGACTCTTGCATATGGTCTGGAGCACTTTTGTAGTAAGGCACGTCTCTTCTTGGTTGGATGAGGCACATCTATTTCTCAAGAGGTATATAAAATGCAGTGTATGAGTATCATATAAAATAGGCATGCACAACATAGAGAGTACGGTCTGAAGAGCACCCCAAAAGATACTGCTGAAGTGTAGTTTTTAATGTGACATAAAGGGCAAATGGTTAAATACATATTTACTTAACAGTGTTTAATTGCTATCACTGAATTGAGCCTTAACTCCATTTGTTTTTGTTCCAATCTGTTCTGCTGTTGTCCTGTACCTTCCCACAATTTTGAATTGCACGTATCCCCTGCATTTGGGAACGTACTTTAAATTATTCTGACAGCATCTTTCCTGCATGATGTAAATCTAAATTTTAAGCAACAGCCAACTTATCATTTATAATTATTATCTGCCCGGAGTGATAGCCAAGGAAAGCCAAGGGAAATCATCAAAACAATTAAAAAACGAAAG